GGGAACAGGTCGACCTGTGGCTGAACAGGTCACAACCGACCCTGGAGGAAAGTTTGATCTGCTGATAGTAATGAAGGGTCCATGCAGCTCTGTGGGGAGAACAGACATGACAAATGTTACACAAAATATTATAACAAATGTTATACAGAGAAGAGTTCACCATCTGAAGATGTTCTGCTGCTTTTCACTCACCACAGAGTTTTATGCAGGTCCAGCCTATCAGCGCTCCTTTAGGATAGGTGTTAAACAAACATCGGTAGCAGCCTTCATCCTCCTCCATCACCTTCCTGATCACCATGGAGCAGCTATGCAGAGATTCATACTGAAAATCCATCTTCTCCTCCAGATCAGGTCTCACTCTGGAACCAAAGTCCTTGATGTAGGTGGCGAGTGTCTTCTCTCCATCAGAAAGAACCTTCAGCCAGCTGATCTCAAGGATGTTTTTATCCTCAGTGAGCCGACAGCTTAGAGAAGCTTGGTCTCCTACTGCTGCCCAAACAGTCTCCTTTGTTTCTATCCCAGCCGACTGACCTGAAAGAAACGCAGTCAACAGTAAAACTGGTTCATAAAAGGAGCACTTATTGTTTAAAAAAATGTTTGGATTAAGTTGTTTATTTGTAGAACGTAGACTGATTGGTTTTATTCAAATGCATATTAACAAACGCACTAAATGGTTGTAAATATAACAAATTTAGCAAAATACTCGCACGTTCATAGGTGATGTCATCCCAGATTAGGTTCGTTTTTAACCGAGGAATAACAAATACACTCATCCTTATTGCACTGATCTGATTACTATTAAGGCATCCAGTTATTGTGTGTTGTAGTCGCTGAAACCTTTTAAAATAGATTTGCAAATTATAAAATTACACATTTTTGACTAAAGTTAAAAACAGACTCGCAAAGATGAGGAGAAAGTAGCCAATGTGCTCCGGTGTATAAAAACAAAGCTGCTCTCACCTGTCTGAAGGATGATGGTAACTAAAAAACAGATGATTGTAACAGCAGGTCGCATTTTGCAACTCTTTCAAGCCAACATACTTCCTGTTCTACCTGTTGATTCAGAACTGCTGGAGCAGGAAGTTGAGTCTGAACTGTAACGTTATGAGTCACGTGGATTTAACCTCGTTCATCAGCTTCATTAAAAGTGTTTTGATCCTGAAAAAAAACAACTAATATTACATCAAATATAAATCTCTGGCGGAAGTTATTCTCACCCAGACAGTCAGCATGAACAATTTTTTTGTTAAAAGACATAATAATAATGGCTGTGGAAATAAATAAGACATGAGAAGTGTGCACTGAGAATAAGTTCCAACTTGTCGTCCACAAGCTTCACTCTCTTTTATCAGTCAGTGGCTTAAAAACGTTTAACTTCTCAGAATATAATTCAAAACACAAGATCATTGTATTGAAATTAA